GTGTGTGTGTGTGTGTGATGGGTTAATAAAACACATTAAAAACATCGACATAAAGTGCAGGATTTGATTCAGTGACCGCAGCTTCTGGTGCCGGTATTTCTTCTTCTGTGGATTCTTCTTTTTCCTCCGCAGCGAGTTTGAGGTCTATCCCTATTAAACTTTACGTCAACCATCCTCAAATGTAATTCTAAATGGGGATTAGACCTCATTAATATTCATGAGACTGGTGTGTGTGTGTGTGTGTGTGTGTGCGGAGAGAGAAAGGAGGAGGGGGTGTATCACAATAAAATCAAAATGGATGAATTTAACTTCTTTCCTCTTTTTTTTTCTCACGTTCACATTTGTCATCAGAGGAATTAACAGCAATAATAAGAGTATTAATAAAAAGGCTTCCCGGCCTTTTCTGGAAATGTATTTTGTGATGTTGATAAACTAAAAAATGCAGCTTTCTGTCAAACTGAACACTCCTTTGAAACATTTTAAGCCTCTAAAGAAGCTTTTCCTTCATTTTCTTCAGACAACATTCAGAATAATAACCTTTTATTTCATTTAACAACTGAATTGGTGTTTTGGAGGAAACAAGACGCCACTTTTAGGCATCGTGCGATTCAAGGAAGCAAGAAATCTGGCATATTTTTAGAATAAAATAAGTTTCAGACGGAGGAAAAGTCCGCAGATTTATTTATTTTTGACACGACTAGTTCTCTTGGTCGCTCCAAAAAATGCTTCCAGTTTTTCTCCTTCTTCTTCTGAGCTGCATACAAACAATAAAATAATAAACTCCTGCTATAAAATGTGAATATCTTCTAAATTCTTCCTGTACGCACTTTGGCGCACAGCACATCCTGACGCTCTGTGGCACTTCCTCCTGCAGGCCTGCATGTGAAACATTTCCATCTTTTTCAAACCTCTCTTTGGTTCGTCCGGTCTCGGGACCGGGACCGAGAAGGGGGGAGGGGGGGTGTATGGGGGGGTAAGTGGGAGTGGGGTCTCCCGGCTGCCTCTGCGCGCCTGCCGCCATAGGCCGCCCCTCGCCGTCCTCAGCCAGAAGACGCGCGCTCATTTGCTGCAGGAGGACCGGATCCGCAGTGTCCTCCCTCATAGAGGCGGCAGGGGACGAGAAGGTGATCATCATCCATCCCGTCTCCATTAGAAATTCACCTTACACTCCTGACAGACAACGACAACCCCATGAAAGCAAATGAGTTTGATTTATTTGGCGTAAAAACACCCGAACCGCACCGAGGAGCGGTGACGCCCGTGGTGCTGATAACTGCGCGTTATACCGGAAATGCTGCTCGGTTCAACACTGTTGTTTTGTTTCTGAAGAAGTCTGCCGCTTTTTGAAGTTTTGTGCCCTGCAGACTTCCTACTGCTGATAATTTACTGCTGCTCGCCTCTTGTGGGCCCGAGAGCTCGGGGAGAAGGGAATGAGTAAAACCAGGTAACGTTTTCTCCTTTTCTTTCTCCTAATTTAATGTTTGTTTCTGCTTTGTGCGGCATTTTTACTCCGAGCTGCAAACAACCCCCCCTCTCCCACCCCACCCGTGCACCATTAACACAAGCAGCTCAAACTGTGTTAAAGCGACAGAAAAGTCACTTTTACAAACATTTTAAAAACGTTCAATTGTGAAATGCGGCTCTGTGCGTGATTTCAATTTGCGCCGCTGCACTTTTTTTGGATTTGACTTTTCTTTTTTTGTTGCGGAGATATCAATTAATCCGTACAGTGGAGGACTCCGACTCGAACTGGATAAATTGAGTCAACTTCCTCCTGAGTAGATAATTTTCA